TCACCTTCACCTTCACCTTCACCTTCACCTTCACCTTCACTTTCACCTTCACCTTCACCTTCACCTTCACCTTCACCACCATCACAACCACCAGCACCAGCACCAGCACCAGCACGAGCACCAGCACGAGCACGAGCACGAGCACGAGCACCAGCACCAGCACCAGCACCAGCACCAGCACCACCACAACCACGCACACACGCACGCACGCACGCACGCACGCACGTGCACCACCACCCACTACGCACGCGCGCGCGGAGCCACAGGTCCGCTACGACACGCGTCCGCGGATAGAGAAAATCAGCGCCATGGTAAGGGATGGGAGGGAGGGGTAGGACGTCAGATATGACGCGAGCGCACCTAGCTTGTCCTCCTCCCCTCCCTCCCTCCCTCCCTGCTTCCCTCCCTCCCTCCCTGCCTGCTTCCCTCCCTCCGTCTCCCCTCTCCCCTCTCTCCTCTCTCCTCTCTCCTCTCCCCTCTCCTCTCTCTCCTCCTTCCCCCTCTTCCTCGTCCTCCTTCTCCTTCTCGTCCTCGTCCTCGTCTTCGTCCTCCTCCTCCTCCTCCTCCTCCTCCTCCTCCTCCTCTCTCCTCTCTCCTCTCTCAATCCTCCTCCTGCCTCCCCTCCTGCTCTTTGTCTGCTGTCTGCGCCAGGCCCCCCTTTTTCCCGCCCGCCCGCCCGCCCCGCCGGACCCAGGCCTCCCGCGCGGGCGTTCGTCGATGTCTGCCTGCGTTTCCCTTCCTCTCCCCCCTGCGCTGGACAGCACGGCCTGCCTGGGCCCTGAGTGGCGGCGCGCAGGGCTCCGTCGCATCGCCGGCGGCACGAGAGCTGTCTGAAACATCACGGGGCGGCTTCATGCTTTGTGGCAGCCCTCCTCTCCCCACAACCTCTCAATATGAATGCTGCTCTCGGATCTCTCCTTCCCTCGAAGATGGGCTGGGAGTAGCCCGCCCCCTCCGCGTAGTGCCGTCTGTGCACGGGATCGCATGTTTTGGTCTTTCCGATGCTTTGAAAAATCGGAGGGTTTTCGGTGCCTCTGATCTGTGGGCCGCATTTTCGGATCGGCGCTCTGCTCCCGACGTTCAGAATGTCACTCTCGCACCAGCGTGTCACATTTCTGGATCCGAGTCCCTTTTCATCGTTGTCGCCCCCTCGTTCTCCTGCTCCTTCTGCTCCTCTTGGTCCTCCTGCTCCTTCTGCTCCTTCGACTCCTGCTGCTGCTGCTGCTGTTCGTCCTCGTACTCCTTTTTCCTTCTCCTCCTCCTCACTCTCCTCCTGCTCATCCGCCACATCCTTTTTCTCCAATGTCCGCAGCTCCCTTTTTGTCCGCTTGTGCACAACACGATGGGGTCCCCTTTGGAGTCCCAGATCTGCTATGACACGCACCGCGGATGGAGGAACAACAGCGCAATGGGAAGGGGTGGGTAGGAGGGGTAGGATATCAAATCTGGCGCGATCGCACCTAGCTTGTCCTCCCCCCTCTCCCTTATTTCCTCCTCCATTCCCCTCCCCTCCCTTCACTGGAGGCCTCCAAGATGGGGTCGGAGTTGATGGGGTCGGAGGATCGCGCCACATCGCCGATACATCGGCGATGCATCGGCGACGCATCGGCAACATCGGCGATGCGTCGGCGACGTCGGTGTGGAGAAAATCGGGCTCGGCATCGAGCCGCATCGGCGATGCATCGGCGATGCGGCGCGATCCTCCGACTCCATCTACTCCGACCCCACCTGGGAGGCCTAGACTTACTCCAGATTTCGTAATAAAAGGGAGGGGGTCTGGACCCTCCAAGACAAGCCATTTCAGACCTCCCCCGTTGGAGAACTCTCCAAAACATCGTCCCCAGACCCCCCAGGCCCTCCAAGATAGCCTGGAAGAGACCCCCCCCCCGAAATGAGACCCCCCTCCCTTTATTACGAAATCTGGAGTACCCTCCTCATCCCCCCTCGCTCCTCCCTCTTCTCCGCCATTCTCCCCCGCCTGCTCCTGCTCCTCGCCCCCCTTGCCTTCCTCCTCCCCGCCCGCTCCTCTCTGGCGACACGGTCAAGCCCGCGGCGGCCCTCTCTCAGCTTTCGGGGGGCCGTCCTCGGGTCGCCGGGACAGATGTAGCCCGGGACAAGGATCGAGTGGGGGATCGACTGCAGAATTGATTTACCCCTGATTTGATTCTTTCGTCGAATACACGAAGGAATACGTAGACATCCACGCACATTCTACGTATGCCTTCGTAGATTCGACGAAAGAATCAATTCTGGGGTAAATCAATTCTGTAGTCGATCCCCCACTCGAAAGGAGCTGGCCAACAGCGGTGGGGGTCGAGAGCTCTCGGGGCCACGGCCTGGAACAATAACCAATCCGCCAGAGGTCCGGGGCCCACGGAGGCTCGAAGTTCTGCCCTCGGCACGCGTCGTGCAGGCACGCTCGGCGAAATTTGTGCTCCCGCTGCCGTCTGGGGACTGCTTTCCGATCTCCTCGAGCTTCTCGAGCGACTCTCCAGAGCACATCCAGGCTGGCCTGTCAGCGCGAGGCCGCTTTGCGGCCCGATCCTCGTCCTTGCCTGCGGAACTCGAGCCCGCCCCAGCGGGGGCCTCCTCGAGCAGGTAGACAACGTGCTTTGCTCCTGATGGGTCAACTGCGTCTAGGAGGCAATCCCTGACCCCAGAGTTGTTCAGCACGAGGCTGAACTTCCTGCCGTCGGCTTTGAGAACCTCGGGAAGGTCCGAGAACTTCTTGTGCTCTATCCGTCCCGTCGATCTGTGCACGACCATCAGCCGCGACGAATCCCTTGGCCGCGCAGGGTGCTGTGCGATAAGCTCTGGCGGAACTTCGAAGGCCTCGTAGGCAGCACGGGACGACAAATCGACGACCATGGCCCAAACCCTCACGCTCGAACGCCCAGCGCACCCTAAAGAAAGGGGTAACGAGGTCGGGGCTTGGCGTTGCGAATCGGTGCCGAAAAAAAGCCTGAGCCGAACCGGCTCGGCGAAGAAGAGGCTGGGCCGAAGAGCACTGGAAGGCGTGACTGAGGGTGATGAGGAGCAACACAACGGCACAGGCATACATTCTAGGTCCGCGCGGAGCTGGGGCATGTAATATTTATGCACATTTCTTTTCTTCGAATTACTAGGGGGATGGATTGGGAACGCCTACGTGGGAACATCGTGAATAGGGCTGGTGGATCGCGCCAGGTCGCCGATGCGTCGGCGATGCTGCGACGACGTAGCCAAGGAGGGAAACCAGGCCCCGGATTGAGGGACTTCGCGGATCCAGGCATGGCGATTTTACGATGGCCATTGCTGGCCCCTCACTGACACCCCTCCCCATCTGTTGAGACACCGGTTCCTAAACAGATCTTCAGGATCTGCACGTTTCGTATGAGGACGGTCGAACGTAAGCTGGTTGAGAACAACTCAGACCGAGCCCGCGAGATCCAGGGGAGGGGGGTCTGGGACCTGCCGGCGAGGCGCTTGCCCATCGGCAAGAGACTCAATCTCCCCCAGAAGCAGAGCCTCAAAAACGTATCTAGTGCCACCCGCACCTCCGCCACACACTTTCAACCATGGGGCTGCAACGTCAACGGGATGTGCGCGCACTGTGGGGCCCCTGACACGGTTCACCACTGTGCGTGGACACCTCCTTCGTTCCGCTGCAGGTGGGGAGGTATCTACGCTGAGACGCTTGCCATGGCCGAGCACATGGGCAAGTCCGATCCTCTCTTCAGCGGCCCTTATGTCCACTGAGCGACCTTTCGACGCCGCAGTAAGGACCTTATATTCTCGTGGTAGTAGGCCCCCTCCCGTCCAGTTCATATGAGGAGTGGAACGTTCCTGTGACTGCAGCTGCTTTCACATCGACGAGGATGTTCTATCTCGAGCCGGTTGGTCGGTCATTGAGCACGATGAGCGGGGAAACATGTTAAGGGTGATTCGTGGCCCTGTACCCGATGGCCTCCCTCAGACGGCCCCGGAAGCCGAACGCCACAGGCTGATGCAGGCGCTTGACCACCTCAGCCCCGATGCTTCTGAAGACAAGGCCGTGCATGTAGAATGCTAGGCATTCGTCCAAGCATCTACGAGTAAGATTTGGGCCCAGAGCCGCTCGGCCCCGCATGCGGGGTACTGGTGGATAGTGCGAAACTGGCCCGAGATCGCAGCTTCCTTCCGCTTGTTCATCATCAGCGCTCACAGGCCGCTATTACATACAATTTCTACCATGTTCAGTGGAACCAATCAGATCGAAGCAAATCCCCAGTCACCCCCGGACAACCCGGATCCTCCCCCCTGGACAACCCGGACAACACGTTATGATTCATGACGACAAGACGGCTCACCCTGGGCAACCCCTTGGACAACCCAACGGGGATCCAGACAACCCCACTGGAAAACCCTCTTGTACAAGCCTCCCAGGGATTGTTCTTCCATCAGATCTAATCCGATATATGAGCTGCATCTGGTTGGCAACCGTTGGGCCGACATGTGGGCCAAGAAAGCGGCTCTAGCCAACGGTTTGTCCTCTGATGGTTTGATCAGTGTCAAATGGTTGTTTCCTGATTTTCGGGGGTAGCCCAGGCTATGTCAAACAGCGTGGAGCTCTGGCTCCCCCACTCGTGAGCTCTTCGGGCTCCTTTAGGCCCCCAAGTGCCAAGAGCGCCGCTGCGGTGGTGCCCAACACGCAGGTCTGGGATGGGAGGGGCTGGAGATGCGTGGCGTGCCACAGATCGGGGTCCCGAGTGCTGGTCGCCACGCGGTGCTTCTTCTCCCACCCCCACTCCCGCTCGTACTCCTCAGAGGGTGGGGTGGGGTGTGGGGTGGAAGGGGGGCATTATCGGCTGTGGACAAACCTCCCTTTCAGTAAACCACCCATTAGTGAAAACGGCCTGGGACCGAAACCGACGGACCTGGACCCGCAAAAATGACGGCCGCGACGACCTCTCGCGAACCGAAAACGGCCAAGTCGCTAATTGACGTGTCAGGGTAGGAGGTCTATCAACCTCTGACATTCGGGGGCGAGGGCGCGATGAGGGGGGGGGAGGGGCAGCGCTCCGTGGGGAGGCGGCGGCTCTCGCAACTGGAGGGCCCGCGGGGGCCCTTTCCTCCGCGGCTCGCCACGGGAACGGCCACGTGCCCGCCGCGGGCAGAGACAGGCGCGCGCGAGGGTCGGCGGCGGGCGCCCACGGATGGGCGGCAGAGCCGGCCCGGCGAGCCAGTCCTCAAAACGCCAGCGGGGGCGGGGGCAGAGGACGCTGCCATGTCGCTCGCAGTGCATCAGGCTCGGGCGTGTGCGCGCCTGCAGGAGTACATCGGATGCCAAGCACCCTCACGTTCGAGCCCTTCGGCTCGAGATCGTGTCAAGAGACTCGCAGACGTGAGGCGAGGCACCTCACTAGAACATCAGCGAGAGAGAGAGGGAGAGAGAGCGAAGCCATACACAGACTTATATACACATTCAGATGCACAATTCATGTAGTTACATGCATGTATATGTATGTGTGTATGCATGTATGCATGCATGCCAGTCTGCCTGACTGTCTGTCTGTCTGTCTGTCTGTACGGTGTGTATATATAGATATATGTGTGTGTACGTATGCATGTGTGCATGCATGTATGTATATACATACGTAAATGTGCATGTATGCATACATGCATGTGTATATCCGCGATGCTCGTGTATGTATATGCATGCCTGTATGCATACATGCATGTATGCATACATACATGTGTGTACATGCATGCGTACATGCATGTGTGTATGTCTGTATACATATATATATATATGCATGTATGATGTTATGTATGTGCGTATGTTCGCTTGCTCGTTTGTATGTATGTGTGTATGCATGCATATTTGTTTGTTTGTTTGCTTGCATGTACGTATGTATGTATGCTTATATGTATGTATGTATGTATGTAGGTATGTATGCATGCATGTATGTATGCATGCATGTATGCATGTATATATGTATGTATGTATGTATGTATGTATGTATGTATGTATGTATGTATGTATGTGTACATCTGTCTGTATGTAGGGGTGTCTGCATTCATGCATGTATGTATGCACGCATGTATGTACGTATGTATGTATGCATGCATGCAGGTATGTCTCTGTCTGTCTGTCTGTCTGTCTGTCTGTCTGTCTGTCTGTCTGTCTGTCTGTCTGTCTGTCTGTCTGTCGGTCTGTAAGTACGTATGCATGTATGTATGCGTATGTATATATACACATGCAGAAGGGAGTGATATATATATATATATATATACAGAGAGAGAGAGAGAGAGAGACAGAGAGAGAGAGAGAGAGAGAAAGAGAGGAGGAGGATGAGCAGGAGGAGGAGGAGGAGGAGAAGGAGGAGGAGGAGGAGGAGGAGGATGAGCAGGGGGAGGAGAAGGAGGAGGAGGAGGAGGAGAAGGAGGAGGAGGAGGGGGAGGAGGAGGAGGGGGAGGAGGAGGAGGAGGATTATTGGGGGGGGGGCAGGAGGGCCGTGATAGTAGGTGTAACCAGCGCATCGAGGCGGCTTGCTTCAACCTTCCCCACCGTGCCGTATGCCCCGAGTGGAGTGTCCTCGGATCTCTGTCCCAAGGACTCCCTAGGAGCGTTTCCATCCGAGCCAGCTCCAAGAGTCTCCTGGAGGGCCCTCCCCTCGGCGTCGCGCCAGCCTGGTATACAATCCAATCAAAAACCCTAATAAGGACGCGCGGTAAGGACGCAAGACCCTTGCAAGCCGCAGTTGGGATTTTTGGGGCGGCGAAAACCCCAAGGACGCAAGGGTACCCTGAGCAAGGACGCAAGGGTACCCTGGGCAAAGTCGCGCGTCCTTATCAGGGTTTTTGACTGTGTCCCAGGCTGCCTCCATGTAGGCCCAAGGCGCCTCCAAAAGCTCCCGAGACGACCCCAGTCGGGTCGGACGAACGGGGGGGTCTAGTGAAGGAGGGGCTTGCGACTCGGCTCACGCAGCTGACTTTCCCAGCGCCTCCTGGCGCCGGAGACGCCACTGCATTGGGGACAGCGCCCCGCGGCGGGGCCGAAACCGGCTGCACGCAGCAGCTCTCCGCCCACCCCGCTTCCTCTCGTCCGACCCCAGGCAGGACGACCCAGGGTGCGATGGCGGAGCGATAGGTGGGGACTGGCCCAGGGGGGAGGCACATCGACGCACCCCTGGAACGCTCTTGGCGAGGGAACAGCCGCTGAAGGCACTCTCATGCTGGAGAACCGCCGAGTGTCCACGAACACGTGTGCAAACCTACTCCCCCCGAGCCTATCCTCTCATTGCACCGGCCTTGCAGACGTGCTGCAGCGGATTTCTGCGTGGATTCCTGCGCGGATTTTTGCCCGAAGCGGCGAGCGAAAAACGAAGCGAATTTCGCGTGGGTTCTTTTTGGTCTTCATTCCTGGCCAAACAAAATCCGCACGAAATTCACATCGAAATCCAGAACGAAACTCTCCAGGACGCCCCGGGCCCACCCCATCGTTTCCCGAACGAAATCCGCTCTGCGATGTTGGCGCCATGATATCCTCCCCTATCGTTGCCCCTGAGGGTGGCCTCGGGACTGCCCAGGGCACGGCTCTGCACGCTCAGTGCCCGGAAGCGCCCGCATCGAGCATCGTTTCACCGATCCCCAGCCCCACTGGCGTGGCCTGGGCCCCACTGGCCGATGTACCCCCCCGGATTCGGGCGTTGGCAGAACTGGGTTTACTGGGACCTGGGTTAGTGCTGTGTACCGGGGGACCCCCCCCCCCGCCCCGTTCCACTAACGGGAACTGCCGTCACCCGAAAAAAACACCAGCTGCGGCAGACCTGGTTTAATGATTCTGGCCAATTTCGGGGCTCCAGGGCCCTACCACTAACCGGGTCACGCCGAGGGTCGAGGCGCCCCCCGCCCCTGACCCCGAGCTCGACTTTGTCAGCTCCCTGGACGTCCTCCTCCTCCTCCTCCTCCTCCTCCTCCTTCTCCCCCTTACCTGGGGTCCTGGCTATACCCGACACTGGCCGATGTCCCCCCCCAGATGGGGACACAGGCTGCTCCCTTCGGGCCTCGAGGGGCATATCTCCAGCTGGGGTGGTGGGGTGGTGGGGATCGGGATGGGGATGTAGAGGACGAGCACCTTGTGTGAACAAAACACTTTTGGAGATCTGCGCGGATTTCTTGGATCTGCGCTGAACCCCCCCTACCTGGCGCGCGCAGCGCGCCAGGGGCGCCGCCGGCCAGCGCCGGTCTGAGAAGTCCGCGCGGATCTCCAAAAGTTCATGTTTATGCAATCTTCTTTGATTTGCACGCACAATGCCCAGAAGTCGGGACACCGGGATTCGATCTGGGTCAACCGGCCGGAACCGATATCGAATCGGATGGACCAGATCGACCGACATCGAATCGATACCAGATCGGAACCGATCGATACCGAGTCGGATCGATCGGTGTCGATCGCATCGATCGATACCGAATCGAAAGCCGAAGTTGCAGCTGAGTGGTAAAACAATTGGAGGAGGAGGAGGGATGATGATGATGCTGATGATGATGATGCTGATGAGGATGATGATGATGATGATGATGATGATGAGGATGAGGATGAGGATGAGGATGATGATGATGATGATGATGATGATGATGATGATGATGATGATGATGATGATGATGATGATGATGATCATGATGCTGATGCTGATGCTGATGCTGATGCTGAGGATGAGGATGAGGAGGAGGAGGAGGAGGAGGAGGAGGAGGAGGAGGAGGAGGAGGAGGAGGAGGAGCGGTGACGCGATGCGCACGCACGGAGACGGCACGCCGTGGGCCGCTCAGTGCAGCAGCGGCTCGCGCCCCGCGGGGGAGCGCGCCGCCCTCCGCGCAGAGAGCGCGCAGGCCGCCGCCGCCCCCAGGAGCAGCGGCAGCAGCCCCAGCCCGCCGGCGCCGAGGGACCTCCGCGGGGGCCAGGGAGCCCCTCGAGCCGTGAAGAAACCACGGCGGGGCGGCTTTTCGCCGTCGTCAGCCTCTGGGGGCCCTCACCGGGCCTCGGGGCCGTCCACAGCACGGCTCAGGAGGAGCAGCGGGTCCCCGGGGCAAGCGCCGAGACCCCTGCATGGGGCAACTCCGGTGGCAACTCGTGGGGGTCTCGCCAGGTCGCCCGAGGCCAGGGCCCACGGGAGACAGCTGCACATCACCGCCGCCCCTGGCTGGGGCCCTCTGGGCCGCCCCACCTCGCGCGCTGCGCCCCCCCGGCGCTGCGGCGCGCCGCTCTCTCCGCGCACCCGCGCTGAAGCCGAAGAGAAGCGCAACTGCCCGGCCCGGGCCGCGGCGCGGGGAGCGCGACGCCATCTTTGCGCCCCTGGGGGGGCCTCCATGGGCCTTTCGGGGCGGGCGCGGGGAAAGTAGCGGGGTGGGGGGTGGGTGGGGGGTGGGTGCGGAATCAGCCGCGCGCAGCGGGTCTTGTCCGGCGCCTCCCGGCGACAGGGCTGACAGTGCGTCGAGGGCTGCGCCCAGCGGCGGGGCCGAAACCCGCTGCAGGCAGCAAACTTGGCACCCAGTCCCCAGTCCTCACTTTCGTCCGACCCGAGCCATCCTGGGCCCTGGGGTGCGGTACGTCGTAGGCACGTCAGACAGGATCAGCAGACAGCCTGCCAGCGGGTGCCCCACAAAGACTTCGTATCCCCGGATGGGCCCAGAGCCCCCTGGGGCACCGTACCAAGCTCAAGGTCGACGGGGAGATTCTCCTTACGGCAAGGCTTCTTCTCGCATGTGTCTGCCGTGTAACCTCCTGGCCCCATCCAGAAAGGCCCGTACGCCCTCCTGAGGGCCCAGGGTGGCCCTGGCCAGGGGCGGCGGCGGCGTACAGCCGCCTCTGCCGATGATCGAGGAGCGAAAAGCGGCATAGACGTAAATTTTCGGAGCTCTGGCATTTGATGCCTATGCGGTTCTCTTCGGCTGCACGCAAGAGTGTCCCTGGGCACGAATGGCCTGTGGCGCGCGGCCTCAGGGAGGGCGCGAGGGGGCCGAAACCAAGCGCGCTGGCCGCTGCTATCGCATCTCGCTCAAAGATAGGGAAGCACCCGTGGGCCCGCACCAAAGGTCACTCCGGCGAAGGGTCACTCTTACGTGTCGTCGGTGTCTCCTCCTCGAGGCGGTGTGCAGCCGCCTTTTGCCGAGAACCTCGCGGGCGCACCGCCGCCCTCCTGCCGCGGGAGGCCATCGGCCGCCCCCTCGGCGGGGAGCTGCAGCTCCACCCTGGCGGGATCGGCGGCGCCGCGCAGCGCAGTCGTGCGCACGTCGCCCGAGGGCGGGAGGTCGTCGGCCGCCTCCTCTAGTAAAGGTACCCAGGGAGACGCAAATATGTAACACATCCAAGGGTTCCCCATCATTTCTCATACTTCTTGGAGTTGAGTCTTCCCCTCCACTTCCCATGTATTTCAATCTTTTCCAGGGAATCGACGATTCATGGAGTCTGTGGCTATTTATGCCTCCTGACCTTAGCACGCCCGCAACGGGTACGGAAACATGGGCACGATGCCCAACAGCCGATGCTGCCCGAAACCGACAGCGGCCGCCGTTGGACAGGCGACTTTCTGTCTGAGGTTGACTGCGTCCGCGGCGACTGCGTCCGCGGCGACGCAGACCGCGAGTCCTGTTCAACATGAGCAGGGACTGCTGCCCGTCTTCGTCACCATTCTTTCCATACAAGCCTCCCCCCCTAAGCTGACGGCGGGGCACCATACCTGACGCAACATCCACTGGCAGTGGACCTGGCGTTTTTGAACGCAAGCCTGACGCCAAGTGATCAACCCGACGCCACCCCACCGGCGTCTCGCCCGGCACGCGCAGGGGCAGCCGTGGATGCCAACGGCTTCGCAGACGCAAGACCGGCAGCGGGACCGGCGTCAGGTTAGGTTTTTTTTTGGGGGGGGGGCTTGTACAACATCGTGTTTTAGGACGTCTGGGAACACATTCTTCGTCGATCCCTGAGGGTCCCACGGTGCCCCAGCGCTTCTGTGGGTCCCCGGGGCCACCAGGGGGATCAGACCGAAGCGTGGTGGGCCAGATCCGGCGGCGCGACACGCTGAGCCAAAGCACCCGCTTCCGCTCGTACCGATCCTCGGCCTGCAGCTGCAGCTCGACCGCGGCGGGCCCTTCGCGCAGCGTTGCGGCGCGCTCGCCGCCCTGCGGCGCCGCCGCGGCCGGCGCTCCCGCGGTGGCCGCGGCGCCCTGCGGGGCGCCGACCTGCGGGCCGCCGTCGTCGTCGGCCCCCGAGGGCGAGCGACGAGGCCGAGCGGCGAGGGCGAGCGACGAGGCCGAGCGACGACGCCGAGCGACGACGACCCAGGGGCCTCCAGCAGGGCCGCCGCGCCCGCGGACTTGCTGCTGCCCGTGGGCTGGGCCGCGGCGTGCGTGTCGGCGCCCGCCGGGACGTCCCCGCCGACGGCGCTGGCGTAGGCGCTCTTCTGCTCCCGCGCCTTCGACTGCCAGCTGCCCCCGGCGGCGGGGCTCGTGCCCGCCATGCTCTCGTACCTGTTGACGTACTGGCTGTACCCGGTCGCGCCCGCGCTGTACATGTTCTCCATCGGCGCGGTCATGTTGCTCCACTGGCCCACCCACTGGCCCACGTACTTGCCGTGGTCGCCAGGGGGCAGCATGGCCGTCAAATACGTGTCAAAGCCGGCGCCGCCGGCGAGCGCAGCCGAGCCGCCGCCTGTGCCCTTGGCCTCGCCCTGCGGCCGCTCCGCGGGCGCGGAAGGCGCCCCGCCTGGCATATACTTCCCATAGTCGAACCCGCCGCCGCCGCCGGTGTACGAGTCCATGTAGTGGTTCCAGTCGAAGCCCTGGCCCTGCTGCGGCTGCTGGCTCTGCTCGGGCTGCTCGCCATGGTCCGCCGAGCTCCCCTCGAAGCCCTCGAAGCCCTGCGCCGCGGCGGCGGCGCTGGCCCGCGCGGCTGCAGCCGACGCCGCCCCGAGGCGGAGCAGGCGGAGCGCCATTGTCAAGGCGGGCAGGGCCCCGGACGACGGCGGCGGACGACCAGCTCGAGCCGAGCTGCCTGCGGAGAAAAAAACACGCCTGGAACCTGTGGGCTTCCGGCAGGGCTGAGAGCGCAACTCGTCCAGGGGCCCTCCAGCTAGGCCTCTGCCGCGACGCTGGGAGCAATCGCGGCTTGATCCGCGCGCGGGTCATGGGGCCAGGGGCCAGACATGCGTGCGGAGGACCAGTGGTCTCGCCTGCACGATGGCCGAGATGGCCGAGCGCTGGGATGACATGCGGCCGTGTGTCAGGAGGGGAACACGACACGGACACAAATACACGTCGATTCCTGGGAAAACATTGGGGATATGGGAAGTGGAGGGAAAACGGGAATCCCCAAACAATTAAAACATCTTGGTGCTCCTGGAACTCGTGTCTATCTATGTGTGTCTCCCTGGGCCCTTTTCGCGTTTGCATCCAGCTCTCGCCGTGCTGAAGGCCTGGCTTTCGGCGCCGGCGCCCCCTCCGCGCGCCTCGAGGTGCGCCCCCGCGTCGCTCCACGATGGCCTGGGACGCAGCTGGGGCGGGGCATCGTGGCGCGGGAGGGCGCGAGGGCTCACGACCTCTACTGGGGGCTCGCAAGCATGGATCAACGATCTATGGATTTGGCGCGCGGTTGCCAAATCCATGGATCGCCTCCCCCAAAATGCGGCCACTGCCGCTTCGTTCGGCGGCGGGAATCCACGATTTCCCATGGAAACGGGACCCGTCGCTAATCCACGCCCCCTTGATCCATTGCGATCGCCTGTCTCCAGTGCAGACGCGATCTTGCGGGCAGCGATGGTTCCAGCGTTCGCCCTGGTCCACGTTCGGCGCGCGCCTCTCAGAAACGAGGCACTTACCTATACGACCACTCTTCGGGTGATAAGGAGGTTCGGGGGAGGGAGGAACCAACGTCTCACTCGATCGGTCTCACTATCGATCTCACTATCGGTCTCGCTCGATCGATCTCACTCGATCGATCTCACAATCGATCTCACTGCATCTATTTCACTCGGTCGATCTCACAATCGATCTGACTATCGATCTCACTATCGATCTCACTAACGATCTCACTATCGATCTCACAATCGATCTCACATTCGGTCTCACTATCGATCTGAATATCGATATCACAATCGATCTCACAATCAACGTCATCACCATCATCAACATCATCGTCATCATCGTCATCAGCGTCATCATCATCATCATCATCATCATCATCATCATCATCATCATCATCATCATCATCGGGACACCATCAATCATCCACATCATCACCTCACCACCATCATCATCATCATCACCATCACCCTCACCATCATCATCATCATCATCATCATCATCATCATCATCATCATCATCATCATCATCATCATCATCATCGGGGCACCATCATCGTCACCATCATCATCATCATCATCATCAACACCATTATCATCGGACCACCATCATCATCATCAACATCGGAACACCACCATCATCATCATCATCTTCTTCTCATCATCGTCATCATGAACAACATCATCGACATCATCATCATCCGGACACCATCATCATCAAAATCATCATCATCATCAACATCATCACCATCATCAGCATCATCGGGACACCATCATCATCGTCACACTCATCAACATCACCATCACCATCACCATCATCATCATCATCAACATCATCATTGGGACACCATCATCAGCATCAACATCAGCACCGTCACCATCGGGCCACCGTCATCAAAATCATCATCATCACCTCATCATCATCCTCATCATCATCGGGACACCTCTATCGTCATGATCATCATCAACATCATCATCATCATCATCATCATCATCATCATCATCATCATCATCATCGGGACACCATCATCATCACCATCACCATCATCAACAGCATCAGCATCAACCTCACCATCACCACCATCATCTGGACACCATCATCATCATGTTCATCATCATCAGCATCATCATCAGCATCATCATCAACAACATCATGATCATCAACATCATCACAATCATCGGGACACCATCATCATCAGCAACATCAACATCATCATCACCATCATCGGGACACCATCATCACCACCATGGCCATCATCATCACCATCATCATCAATGTCCTCAGCATCATCCGCATTATCATCATCATCATCATCATCATTATCATCATCATCGGGACACCATCATCATCACCACCATCACCATCACCATCACCATCACCATCACAATCATCATCATCATCATCACCATCATCAACATAATCGACATCACCATCATCATCATCATCATCATCATCATCATCATCATCATCATCATCATCATCATCGTCATCGGGACACCGACGGGACACCGGCGGGACACCGGCGGGACACCGCGCCCCACGGGCCCCCGGAAAGGAAACATTTGGTCCGGCCGCGCCTCAGCCGGAGGTCGGACACCTGCAGGCGGGACACCGTGCCCCACCGGCCCCTGGAAAGGAAACATTTGGTCTGGCCGCGCCTCAGCCAGAGGAGACTTCCTTCTCGCCCGCCCACGCAGCTTCGCCTCGCCCGCAAGCACGGCACGCACGAACACGAAACCGAAACCGTTTTCCCGGTAGGGGGGCTCTCCGTTCCACTTCGATCTCACCCCCTCACCTCCGATTCACTTGTTGCATCCTCACGTCCCGAGCCGGCCCAGTGTCACGACCGGGCCAGAGGAGAGGAATGGGTGGTGATGGGGTGGGGGGGGATGAGGACATTCGACTTGCCCTCTAGTCGTGGAATCCGCCGGCCCCCTTGTGGGGCCACCAGGCTGTAGGCCGAAGTTGCTGTTCCCTGCGCCACTAGCAGATTCAAATCTCCAGTGGTACGGTCCTCCTTTCTGCTTCCTACGGTACATTGTGGAGGTCCGCGCGAAGGGGGAGAACCCAAAAGGATCCAATGCACCAGCCCCGGATCACGCTGCCTGAATTCCCGGGGGGGGGGCGTGGGACATTTGAACATACTTGAGATTCGCGTCCCCGAGGCCATGATCCGTAGTAAATTACAGAATGTTCGCGTCCCCGAAGCCACAACCCCTGACATTTTTATGTCTGTTTGTTTTCGTTTTCTTCTCCTCGCAGTAATGATAAGGAGGACGTAGCAACCGATGACAGCTCCGTGAATCGCCACGCGAATTTGCGCTACCTGTCGTAACGGCGCTGGCCAGGATGCCGCCTAGAGACAGAAACCGCGGCTTCCAGCATAACGTATGTCCTGCGAACGTGGCCGAAACTCGAGGCGGAAATTCGGACAATTATACGCCACAGCAGGAGGAATAGGACGAGGATGAGGAGGGGAGGGCGAGTAGGCCACGGAGGTCATCGCCCGACTGCCTGTCAGTCTGGGCGCCCACATGACCACGGCAGTTCACGCGCGGGAAAAAGGAAAAGACGAGGGACAACGAAAAACATCCACAGGGCCCGAATTGAGGTTAACAAAAGTTCCCCCTCTGGGCTCAGGGAGGTTCACGAAAAATGCCTGCACAACACAAGTGAATACACTCAGAACAAAAGTTGTGTTATACCCACACCAACTTGCCTAAACGGCCACGCCATTACATCAAACACGACGTGATGCAATTATGTAAAGAAGGAGGAGGGGGAGGAAGAGGAGGAGGAGGAGGAGGAGGAGGGGGAGGAGGAGGAAAAGGGAAGAGAGATGACCACACAATTCAAATTATACCAGATACCCCAGATTCGTATCAGTGCAACGCTGGCTGGAAGCGCCGCGCTGTTGGCGGGGAGGGTTTGCGATGTGGCCGTCGGCACAACTGCGAAAGGAGGAGAGTGGAGAAACAAAAAAAGGCTACGAAACCACTGGCTAGCGCCGGGTAGAGCGCAGCAGCTGCTCCAGGCAAAATGGCCGCGGGCGCCCTCCCGCAGCAAAGCGGGGAGAGCGGAGGCGACGGCGCCTGCGCGCAGGGTCCCGCAGCGGGCGTCGCCGTGCGCCCTGTAAACTGAATGCACTGCCAGTGCGCGTAGCAGCGCGGCTTGCTCCTCAATATCCTCCTCTCGGCGAAGGCGTCGGGGGCGGCCGAGATTCAAAAAGCAAGCCAGCCGGTCCTCCGGCGCCGGGCGCGCCAGGCCAGCGTGGTGGAAACAAAAGGAATGGCACAGCTCGCAAGAAAACATCATGCTCAATCGAATCCTCCCCGCGATTGCATCCGAGCGCGCGCCCCGCTCTGCCTTGAAAGCGCCGCGCCGCGCACCGCCCGCTGAACGCTCGAGCCGACAACAGCCGGCCGACCGCGCACAGCCTGTCGGGCCGAAGCCGCGGGAAACTAGCAATAGACCATCTGCCAAGCTTGGAACGGGCGTGCGCGAGAGCAGGGTTGCTTAAAAACCACAGAATAGCGACGGCCTGCCGCTGCCATGTCTTCCGCTCCGCCTCGTCCATCGGGCTGGTGTCCAACAGGCAGGGCGCGATGCTCCGAGCATGCGCTGCCGTCGCAACGTTGCCCGCGGCCTCAAGGAGTCGCAGAAGAGAGCACGAGCGGATCCACGCGGCCATCTGTAGAATGCCGTTGTCCGGCCCGTGCAGCCGATCGAGCAGCCTACGGGCCCGCTCCTGCACCTGGAAATCTCCAGCATGTCTGTCTGCGTGTAGATACGTCCGGGCAGCAGCGGCCGTAGCACAGGAATCAAGCGAGGCGAACTCGAAATTGAACCCGAGGTCCGTGAGGGTCTGCAGCGCCGGTGCTGTGATCCAATCCCCAGGCCCAGGGACGAGCCGGAGCAGCGCCCATTCTTCTTGTAGAAGCGCCTCTGGAGGAACGCGCTCGAGTTGGGCAACAAAGAGGAGCACGCTCAAGAGGTAGATGCGGTACGCCGACGTCGTCAGGTAGAGGCCCGCGACAATCGACCTCCACAACTCCGCGCGCTCGCGGAACTTCTTCCACAGAGCATCCCATGAATGTGTACATCACGGCTGGGCCACTTCGAACCCCAAATACTTCGCATGCGAGGCTATGTCAATCTGGCCCCACTCGGGGACGAAAGCCGCAATGGCAGTGCGCAGCTCCTCCGGGTCGACGTCGAAGAGAAAAGCCACCGCTGTTTTGGCGATGTTGAAGCGTAAGCCGGAGACCCGTGCGAACTTGGCAAAAATGGACGCGAGCATGGGCACGGCGCGCAGCCCGCCATGGAGGAGCACTGCGGTGTCCCTGCGCAATGACCAGCAAAGCCGCCGCACTCGCTCGAGGAAGTCGGACGAAGCAGCGAGAGGCAGAGGGGACAGAAGACCCTGCCTGACCCCCCGAGGCAACAAACCCGCGCACATCAGACAAATCAACCCTTACATTTACTCAATATTCGCGTCCCCGAGGCCATCAACCCTCGCAGTTTACTCCATACTCGCATTGCGGAGGCCGAACATGCTCCAAGACGCCCGAAGAACGTTCTAAGACGGCTCAGAATGGCCCCAAGAGCAATCCAAGAGGCCTCCCGAGAGAGCCCCAAGAGGCATGGTCGATTCTACGAAGGTTTTTGAAGGATTTTGGCCTTCTCGCATTTTCGGCTTTTCGACGCTCCAAGACGGCTCAAGAAGCCCCCACAACCGCCCCAAGACGGCCCCAGAGGCCTCCAAGAGGGCCCCAAGATGGCACAAGAGGGTTCCAAGATGGCCCAAGAAGAGCTCAAGACGGCCCGAGAGGGCCCCAAGACGGCTCCAAGAGTGGCCCAAGCAGGGGACCACGAACCGACAATTACATATTTGTGCCCCGAGAAGCCCCCAGGAGGCCCCGAGAGGCTGCCAAGAGGCCCCAAGAGGCCCCAAGAGGCGCCCACGACGCGCCCAAGAGGCCTCCAAGAGGCCCAACATATACTCCGCGAGGCCCCAAGAGGCCCTCAAGAGGCGTCCAAACCGCCTCCAAGAGGCCCTCGAGAGGATCCCCACGACACCCCAACACAGATACAAGAGGCCTCAGACCCACAACTCAAGCACGGTGGCGGGATGGGCCGAAGGCCACTCGGATAACGCCAACGTCTCAATATGCTCTGATGATTCCTATCCGCCCCCGCATGATGTTCCCAGAAGCGCCAAGGCAGCGCCGAGACGCACCGACACGACTCTGACATATCCATTATGATAGAGAGGAGGACGGCGGCAGGGGGCGAAGCCCTTACGAATTTAACACGACATGCTACTGTGGATGCTTCTTAACATTGTTTCATTCTCTTCCGAATCAACCTTGAGGAAGTCAGACACGCCTGTCTATACAACGGGATTGCCGGACGGGCGATTCACACTGGACTCGTGGATCAGACGAGGACCACGTGCGCGCAACATCGCCACGGTGCAGGGGACGAGAAGGCGGCTCGTTTTTCTGTGGATGCTGGTGCGCGCGTGCGCCACACCCGTATCTGTATGTGTCTGCCAGCGTGGACCCCAAACAGTGTGTTCTAGCATGCCATGTGGTGCAATCTATGTGGTGCAAGCTACGTGGTGCAAACTATGTGGTGCAAAATATGCAGTGCAATCTACGTGGTGCAATCTAGGTGGTGCAACTCACGTGGTGCAATCCGGCAAGCTCTCATGCAGTGCACTATATGCGGTGCAATCTACATGGTGCAAGCTATGTGGTGCAACCTGTGTCGTGCAATCTGTGTGGTGTAATATCTGTGGTGTAAGCTACGTGGTGTAATATTTGTGGCTGAATCTGTCCGCCGTCCTTTTGGCACGTAGTGGAGCGCCCCAAGGCTCATGCAGCTCTGCGAGGTATAGCACTTGTGGCTCTTAACCGCTCTTACGCGGCCAGCACCCCGGTTCCCCAGGCGCTCTCGGGCGCCACTGCGCCCTCTCGTGGTGTGTCGCCTGAGCTTTTGGGACGCCAGGAGAGCCCCAAGTCGGGCCAAGAGGACCCCAAGAGGCCCCACAGATGGCCGAAAAAGACTTCGAGTCTTCGAACGACCGGTCCAGAACGCTCAAGATGTCCGCCAGACGGCCGAAGATACCCCCAAGACGGCCCAAGTGGCCTCCAAGAGGCACAACCCATTGATTGTCCTTCGGTTTTTGAGCGAATGTGTCGCTCTCGCCTTTTCGGCATCCCGACGCTCCAGGACGGCCCAAGAGGCTCTCAAGACCGCTCCAAGACGGCCCAAGAGGCCTCCAAGAGGGCCTCACAACGGCCCAGAAGGGCTTCAATACTGCCCAAGGGGTCTCCCAGACGGGCCAAGAGCCAAGTGCCCCCAAGATGGCTCCAAGAGGGGGCCCCGACGGGGGACCTCAACGGACATGTCGAGCACTCGGTGCCAAGAGGCACCCAATAGGCCCAAAAGAGGCCCCGAAACAGTCCCCCAGAGGTATCAACACTGCCTCCAGGCCCCCGAGAGGCCTCGACGAGAACCCAACGAGCATCCAAGAGGCCTCAGACCCACAACCCAGGCCTGATGGCCTGATGGGCCGAAGGCGATCAGATGTGGTGGTGCAAGATGTGTGGCGCAACGCGCGTGGTGCAGGCTATCTGGTGCAACCTGTGCTAAGCAGTGTGTGCGGTGCAACATCTGTGGTACAATCTACGTGGTGCCAGCTACGTGGTGCAATCCATGTGGTGCAGCACATTTGGTGCAATAAGGAGCACCGCGATTGCAATGCAGTGCGACTGCGCTGCAACAGGTGGGGGGGGTGCAGCGGGGCGGCGGCGGCTGGCGCGGCGACGGGGCGGCCAGACCCACGACGAAGCCCAAACGACGGGCGGCGACGGGGCGGCGGCGGGCGGCGACATGCCGGCCAGACCGACAACCAGGCCCAGCTCCTTAGATCACAAGACAGGGCCCCTAAGTGAAAACACTGTAAGGGATATGCGCGTACATAGTTACACATCGATGCATACATACATGCATACGTACATACATACATACATGTACATATAACCGGCTCCAGACGATACTAATTCCCGTGGGATAATAAAGTTCGGGGGTCTGGCGGGGATCATCAACGATTTCCCCGGGGAAAGTGATGTTAACTATGATGATGATGTCGTTGATGATGATGATGATGATGATCCTGGGCGCTCGTGTAGACTGACCAAGTAGAGCTTGGTACAAGACTGGCTCGATAGATCCCGAGGCTCGTGGCTACAACTTGCCTGCGCAAGAAAGGTCCGTGCCATGCTCAACGTTTTTGATGCTGTTGCTAGTCGGCATGAGATGTTAGCAACTTCGACTCGCAACTTCCCTCGTGGATTATCAAGTTCGGCCTCCGCGCCCCTCTCCACAATTAAATTAATCTGCAGGTAATCAATCTACCACACATATTATACATACGACAATGTTTGCCAGCACGGACCCAACACAACGCGTCATATATATATATATAAATGTATATATGGATTGCACTGTGGATGTGGCAGCTATGGGGTGCAAGCTGTGAGGTGTAAGCTATGCGGTCCAAGGCATGTGGTTGAAGGTATGTAAAACAAGCTACGTATGAGATGCAAGCTGTGTACAAGCTCAGCGCACGGGGCGCCCACGAGCGCCCACGAAGCGAAGCGGGCGGCAACGTGGTGCAACCTCGTCAAACACTCTCCCAGCGCACGGGACGCCCACGAGCGCCCACGAGGTGGCACGGGCGCAAGGTGGCGCAACCTCGGCACACACACGCACACACACACACACACACGCACGCACGCACGCCCGCCCGCCCGCCCGCTTGCCCGCCCGCCCGCCCGCCTGCCCGCCCGCCCGCCCGCCCGCCCGCACGCACGCACGCACGCACACACACACGCACACATACCACACACACAGCACACACAACACACATATATTCACACACGCACGCACGCACGCACACACACCAACACCACACACCACACACCACACAACACACACCAAACACCACACACCACACGACACACAACACACAACACACAACACACAACCCACAACCCACATCACACAACACGCAACACACACACACCACACAACACACACAACACACACACAACACGCAACACACAACACACAACACGCAACGCACACACACACACACACACCAGCGCACGGGGCGCCCACGAGCGCCCACGAGGCGGCAAGGGCGGCAGCGTGGCGCAACCTCGACAACCCCCCCCCCAATGCACGGGGCGCCCACGAGCGCCCACGAGGCGGCAGGGGCGGCAACGTGGCGCAACCTCGGCACCCCCCCCTGCTCCCAGCGCGCGGGGCGCCCACGAGCGCCCACGAGCGCCCACGAGGCGGCAGGGGCGGCAACGTGGCGAACACCTCGTGAGAATGTGATCCAGCGTGGGCTCCAATCTGTGTTTTGCAGCACTGTGGAGGTGAAACCTCTGCGGTCTGAGCTATATGGTCGACGCTGTATCGTGTAAGCCAGGTGGTGTGAGCTGGGGAGGTGAAACCTACGCGGTGTTAGCTATGTGGTCCAAGGTAGGTCGTGTAAGATAGGCGGTGTGAGCTGGATGTGGAACGGATGGGATGTAAACTGTATGACGCAATCTATGTTGTGCAATCCACTCTGCTGAACTTGAAGTCGTCATCTCCACTGCTCGCGCAAACATCCCACCCACCCACCCACCCACAACTTGGTTTGCAAAACCTCTTAATACCGACTACGACGACACCGACGACAACGACGACGACGATACCGACGACGTCTCCGACGACTTCGACGACGACACCGACGCCGACGCCGACGACGACGAAGACGACGACGACGCCAACGAAGACGACGACGAGGGAGGAGGAAGGACGACGACGGCGACAACGACGACAACGACGACAACGACGAGGGAGGAGGGAGGACGGCGGCGACGCGAACGACGACGAAGGAGGAAGGACGGCGACGCCGACGACGACAACGAGGAGGGAGGAGGGAAGACGACGACGACAACGACGACGACGACGACGACGGCGACGAAATAGGAGGGACGACGACGAGACGCCGACGACGGACGACGACGACGACGAGGGAGGAGGAGGAAGGACGACCACGGCGACAACGACGACGGAAACGACCACGACGCCAAAGAGGACGACGACGACGAACACGAGGAAAGACAGAGGACGACGTAGGCGACGACGACGACGACGCGGGAGGAGGGAGGACGGCGACGACGACGACGACGACGACGACGACGCAAGAGCGCGCGCGCGCGCTTTTGTTGAAAATGCGTGTTGCGAAACCTTTGGTTTTTGTAGGTTTTTTGGGCACACGATTTTGAAATCCTTCCGAAACCGATGGGTTTTGCAGGATTTCGGCATACACCCGCGACCACGCGCGCGTCTGCACTTCGTCCCATTTTTTGCAAAGGATTCTCGCGACGGCACACGCGCAAGGGCGTTCGACAGATTTCGACATGCGCGCGCGCGAAGCCCGTTTAATAGCATGTTGATAAAAATATTGAATAACCTATGGGTTTCTTAAGATTTCGCAAGAGCTCGCGCGGAAGTTTTTTTAGCAAATCAGTGTTGCGAAACCATGTGTTTTTGTATGTTTTTTTGGAAACTCGATTGCGAAATCCTTCCGGCACCGAAGGTTTTTTGAAGGATTTCGGCATGCGCGCGCGACGACGCGCGCGTGTGTGCACTTCGTCTCATTTTTTGCAAGGGATTCGCGAAAAAGTGCTATGTTAGAACAAAAAATGTCACCGCATAGTGTTTTTTACAAGGGAACCTCGGGGGGGGAACCCAGCCTGGCTGGGATGATATGATTTCATATTTAGGATGGACGAGTGTGCAGAATATACATGAAATTATACTATCCCAGGGGGGAGCGATAAGTCCAGGGGGGGGGTAGAGTCTATTTTCTTTTTAGAAAGGAGAATCTAGGCGGTGAGAGCTGTCGTGTACGCTACATGATGAAAGCTATGCCGTGCAAGCTCAGAGCACGGGGCGAGCGCGAGGCGGCTTGGGCGCCAACGTGGCGCAACGTCGGCATGCCCCTCCCCACGCAAAGGGGCGCCCACGACGCGGCACGGGCGGCAACGTGGCGCAGCTCCGGCAACCCCCCCCCCCCGCCCAGCGCGGGGCGCCCACGAGCGCCCACGAGGCGGCACGGGCGGCAACGTGGCGCAACCTGGGCACACTCCCCCCCAGCGCACGGGGCGCCCAAGGGGCGGCAACGTGACGCAACCTCGGCATCGCCTCCCAACGCGCGGTGCGCCAGCGAAGCGCCCACGAGGCGGCACGGGCCGCCACGTGGCGGAAGCCCGGGGCACCAACCGGTCACCTCAACGAAGCAAAGTAAGAACTCCCCAGTGCAAGCACTGTCTGGGGACGGAGAATATCAGAACCTCTAAGTGCAACCACCTCAACGAAGCAAAGCAAGAACGCCCCAGCACAAGTATAAGCACTGCCTGGGGACAAGTAGCATCAGAACCTGTAAGTGCAAGCGCCGTTTGGGGAATAGGTGCACGTAGGGGGTGCCCACAAGTTCGCAATCCGGTATTCTGGCTGATCCTTGCCGCCAATACAAGATATCAAATTCCTGCGTCGTGCAACGCTCTGGCAATTGCAGCATGTGTCCCACAACCATGCTTCTTCTCAAGGATTCGTTGTTACAGACGCTTCTGCGGCACGTCGGGTGCCTGTGTGCGCTGGTGTGCATACATTATGCCGCTGCTAAGCCATCGTGGATCCGTGAGTCAATCGTTTCATGCTCGACTGCCACTCCTTCTGATGTCCATCCCAATTGTGCCTCGACCATACACGTCGGCCGGAAGAACTAGATAACAACATGTAGCATGATGGCGGTTACATTAGATTGGGTCAGGTCCTCCCAGAGAATAACAAAGCACAGCAAAATCATATCGAATCTTGAAGTAGGAAGGCGCTTGAAGTATCTTGGGATTTTGGAACCCAGAAGTACCAACTCTCAACGACCAGCGTGTACCAACCTAGCCACTTTTGACCGAGCGAGCGAGCCAGCGGCTTCGTCGCGACCAGCAGGCGGCACCTTCTGGGCCTAAGGCCCAGCACAATCAGAAATGGGTAGAGCGCGCGTGGAAAGACAGTGCACATTGAGAGCCGTCCTCGCCGAGACAAGCTAAGACGAAACTAGAACGAGGATCAATTCGGGTGAGGATAAATCGAGAGTCTCTGAGACCTGGCAGCTCTGGAGGAAGTCTCGGGCGCCGAGCGTTCCGGAACGCTCTGAGGGCGTTCGGGAACGCTCTGGAACGGATCTCTCCTCGTCCTAGCCCCGTCCGATGAAAGCCGTCCCCGCCGAGACAGGCGCCCCTCCACGAGTACTGCGAATGTCTCCCGCGACCTTGCCATCTCCGGACGCGGGAGCTACTCTCACCAGTTGTTGTCTGACACGCTCGCGCTGCTCTTCAGCCTCCCTTGCAGCACCGACTGCACCTTGGTCATTTGCTGAACGATCCTCTTCTCGTTGCCGAAGTGGTTCTCTGCATCTGCAAAAAACGAATCCACCACCTCCTGGCTCTCCTCTTCTTCGTCGGCTTCCACGTTCTCAAAATACCGAGTGCCCAGCCCAGCCTCCTCTCCTCCGATTTTCACAGGAGGAATTCCCTGCTGCGCCCTCCAGATGTTGCTGTCCCGCAGAGAATATCCGCAACCACAATATTCCTGCTTGTAAAACTTTTCTCCAACACTCACCTCGTACTTCCTGCGGGTGAACTCGGGAGTCTGCCAATTGTAGACCCAGAACTTAACTTTGCCCTCCTCGCCCTCGGCCCCATTGTACAAAGCAGCTGCTCGTATGCCAGCAAGATTGACCTGGGTCTCGTCCTTCCACCTGGGTGGCTAGCCCCTGACTTACTCCCCGTTCTAGCATCTGCTCTCTGCGTAAATTCTGTGCCTTGTGAGATACGAGCTGGTGGACGAGCGTCGGACAGTCTCTCGAGGGAGCAGCCATTTGGGACTCTTGCCAGTAAGGACACCCAGGACGTCACGTTAGATTTAGGGGGCCGAACGGTCATTCACAATCCCTGGATGCGTGGCTGAAGTGGGCTTCCGCGGTGCAAATTGTTGTTGCTGCTGTTGTTGTTGTTGGTGGTGGTGGTGGTGCTGTTGTTGTTGTTGCTGTTGTTGTTGTTGGTGTTGTTGTTGTGGTCGTTTATGTTGCTGTTGCTGTTGTTGTTGCTGCTGCTTCTTGTTTGTTGTCGTCGTCCCGCCCGCGACCCGGACCACAACCCACCCGCGACCCATCCGCGACCCACCCCGCGACTCACCCGCGACCCACCCCGCGACCCACCCGCGACCCGCCCGCGATCCACCCCGCGAACCACCCCCGACACACCCCGCGCCCGCCCCCTCACTCTTATTCTGTAGCTGCGGGGTGCTACAATACATATTTTCCTACCTCCCCTCCTGTCCGACGAGCCTCGGACTGTCTCGAGGGGTCAGAGATTTAGACTCTTGCCAGGAAGGACACCCAGGAAGTCACGTGCTTTTCTCCGTCCCCTCCCCTCCTGTCCCCTCTCCTGCCCTCCCCTCCTGTCCTTTCCTCCCCTCCCCTCCCCTCACCTCCCCTCCCTCCCCTCCTCCTCTCCCTGCCCTCATCCCCCCTCCGTTGCCTCCTCCTCTCTTCCTTCTAGTCCCCTTCCGCCCTCCTCTTGAACCACTACCCCCTCCTGTCCCTTCCCTTCCCCTGTCCTTCACCAATTGCCGCTTCTTGCCCTCACCCAACACATCCCAGCACCCTCCCGTCTCTCGCCCTCCCCTCCCCTCCCAGCTCTCTGCCCTCCACCCCCTCCGCCGATGCCCTCCCCTCCCCTCCCCTTCCCGCTCTTCCTCTCCCTGCCCAGCCTCTCCGCTCCTCTGCCCCCCCCCGGCCGCACCTCCTCCTGCCCTCCCTCACCGGCAGCCTGCTCGTGGCGTTGGTCGTCGTGAAGTATTGGAAGCCGTGCTCTACGGCGTAGGCCGCGGTCACCTCCATGCGCATGTCGAAGCACGCGCTGCACCGCACCCCCCTCTCTGGCTCCAGCTCGAAGCCCACCATTCGTTCGAACCAGCTGTCGGCGTCGTAGTCACAATCCACGAAGGGAATCGAATGCTTCTTCGCATATCTGATATTCTCCTCCTTCCTGATCTCGTACTCCTTCTTTGGGTGGATGTTGGGGTTGTAAAAGAAAATCCGCCACCGTGCCCCGAGGCACGAGATGGGCTGTCCTCAAATCCCTTCGAATTCTCGGTTTGGAACATCGCAGATGTTCTTTAGGGGCCCGTGTCTACAACTCACGGATCTTCCAGGCGCTCTTGCGAATAGCCGTGCGACTTTTCCACTATCTCGAGAATGTGGTTGGGAACCTACGCTTCCCGCGTGCCCCAGGAAGGGTCCACGGGGCCGCCCCGGGGCATCATTCGGTGCCTCTTCGGCCGTCTTGGAGGCCCCCGGGGCCAGAGGCCGAAACCATTGAATCGATTTTGGCGATTGCTTCATTGTGACATGCATGGCCTTTTGGTCTCCAGACGGGAGAACACTTGCCAAAGGGACCCCCCATAAGCACCCAAGAGGAGCTTCGAGGCCCCCAACAAAGGGCCACAGAGGGGAACTCAAACTGGAATCTGCAGTTCCCCATCCCAAAATCCAAGATGGCCTCCGGGACAGCCAGCAGGCCCGAAAGAGGCCGCCAGAGGTCCCAAGAGGCCTCCAGGACGCCCCGACGAGGCCTTCGAGAGACGCCCCAAGAGGCAATCAAAAGGCCTCTTGTCCACGACCCTGGTACCGTGGCGGTTTGGGTCTAACGCTACCGTTCCAGAAAGTTCCCAGTGGCCTTCGGCCCGAGGAGTTGCCCGCCACGCGGAAACTCCAGAAAACAACCCGAAAACTCCGAAAACTCGCCCCCCCCGAGATAGCCAAGATGGGTCAAGCTCGCCTTTAAGACGGTCCCAAGACGCCTCAAATGCGTCTAACATGGCCCCAAGGTGGACCCGACATGGCCCCCGAGACGCTTTGCAGACGACCGAGATGGCCCACTATGTCCCGAAGGAGGTCTCTTCGGCCATGTTGGGGGCCCTCAGGGTCAACACACGAAGCCAACCTCATCGAACATCACATGTTTTAGTGTGGATTCCCCCGATTTTGAAAAGAGCGTCGAAGACGGCCCAAGAGGCCGCCAAAACCAGCTCAAGACTGCCCTAGGTGGGCCCCGAGCGAACCCTAAGAAGGCCACACGGCGGCCCAAGAGGGCCCCAAGAGAGCCGAAGAGAGCCCCACGACGGAGAGGCTCCCCGTACACGCGATGGCGCCATACGGCCCAAGAGCTCCCTAAGACGGCCAATGGAGCCCCAAGAGGGCGTGACGCTTGGGGCCCCAGGAGACCCAGCATGCAAACAAAACAAACTCCAGGGCAACTCCAAGATGTTTCCCCAAGAGCCCTGCCAAATGTTTCCCCAGTGGGTCCCCGACAACTGGGGAACACGAAGCACACTACCATTGCTATGCAGACGCCGGACACTCCACCACACAGACGCTACCAGGCAGGGGACGGTGGTGATTCGCCGGAGGCGTCTTCCATCCGCCGCCCCCGCAGACTGCCAGATGGGTTGCTTGGCGCGCCGCATCGCAAATTTCTCCGTGCCTCTTTCGTAGGGTTCCCGGTGATCGTCGGCCCGACCCGCCTGACGCTCGGATAACAAACAGGCCATCGGCGTTTTCGTCCGAGATGGCTCCACGAGAGTCCCGTAGAGGGCCCTTCCCGGCCCTCCTAATGTGAATGGGCCCTGGGACACACACAAAAAAATATAAATAACAGGATCCCCCATATTTTCTCATATTTTCGGGTTTTTTGTCTTCTGCCCCACTTCCTATATCTTCCAATATTTTCCTCGAAATCGACGATTAATTGTGTCTGCGTGTTTTTTCCCCTCTTGATGATGCGCTGCACGGCCCAAGGCCACCCCGAGACGGCCCCAAGGAGCCACAAGACGGCCCAAGAGAGCCCCAGCGGGCCATTAGAAGGCCCGAGAGGCTCGACAAGAGCCCCCAAACCTCCCCATTTTTCCTCCAGGGGTTTCTCCGACGACTGGGATAAGACGCAGCCGACCAACATGGCTGGAATTTCGCCCGACATTTCATCACACAGGCGTCTCCAACTGGCAGGGGGGCGGCAGCGACTCACCGGAGGCGTCTTCGCTAGTCATGTCCAGGTTCTTTTCTAGCATCTCCTCGACCATTGCGCCCGAACAAGGCGCGCAGCAACTGTGGATTAGAACTTTACTGCGAGGTGCCGGCATCTCGCCGTAGGCAAGCTGGGCCTTCTCCTCCGCACTAATCGGGTCACTGCTCACTATGGCCACCTTCTCTTTGTCTGCATCCTCGCCCTCCTTGTCCTCGGCATCTTCGTAGCGGATCTGCACGTGGGACAGTTTCCGGCGACTTTCAGGCATGTCGCGAGCCTCAAGCCGAGTGACGCCGTGGACGGCTGTGTGGTCGGGCTGCGCGTCGTCCATCGCTGAAGCCAGTGTGCTGCCGCTGTCAGCGGTCATGGCAACTCTGAGTGCCACCCGTCCATCCACTGCACAAAACCGCGGGCGCGATCAGAATTGGACCAACCAACTACGAGGATGTAGCATGGAACCGGCTGGCAGAACGTATGATAGTTTTGGTTACCATTTTCCATTGCGAAATCCACATGGTTCGATGTAGGCCCTGTTAGCTCGCCCGCGTGTCGCTCGCATCACCAGCCAAGTGAAAAGAGATCGCGAAGCAGACCCGCAACCCCAATCGAGAGGGGGCGAAGGCCGATCGCTGTACCGCCCAGGCCGAACCAGCGACCACAAAGCATTGTCGAGTTGTTGCCATCAGTTGGGATGGAGATCTATTTTCAATGCGGTGAACATGGGCTTACAGTCAGAGTAGTGCTTGGTGGCCAGACTACGCTCAGAGTCACTTGCCAAGCCAGTGGCCTTAGCTGAGCCGCAGTCATCAGACGGGCCAGCCTCAACTCACAATTTATTGTCAGCGCTGGCGCCTTCTCGAAGCTTACAAGATCAGCGCGCTGGGCAATGGCACCACCATGTGGCTGATTCTGCCAGGGCCATTACGTCGAACTCATCGAAACCTTTCGCGCCGAACGCATGTACAAACAACTTGTGCTCATGAATGTGTCGACATGACTGGTCACTTTCCGCTGAAAGCCGACGTATGTGTTATGTGCACGTGCACATCATCACAGTCATCAGTATGGCCTATACATGGGTATATACACACCATTGCTTGTTCGTATGGGCGTGTGTACGTGCATGCTCGCAAACACTCGCACGTGGTCGTGCATGTGTGCGGGTGCGTCTGCACTGGTGCGGGCGTCACCGATTCTACGAGGTTTCTCAGATCTCCTCTACTGGCAAGTCGTGCTTGGTCTAATCAAAACGCAAACTTGTGGTGGCGCGAAGTGGTGCGTCGAACGTGGGCCCATGGTAGGAACAAGAAGCGCGGGGAAGAGGGTCTAGAACGGATGGTAGTCATCAGAAATGGGAGGGGACTGTCAGGGGCAGTTAATCCGAGGCTGGGGAGGGGAGGCCATGGCAAGGGGAGAGGGACGAGGGGAGGGGAGGGGACACGAGAGTAGGGCGGGGGGCGACGAGGAGGCCCCCGACAACTTCCACTAACCTTGGCCAGCTTACGCAGACGTGCGGCAATCTCCTGCCCCCCCTTCCTAAAAGGGGGGGGGATGAATCAGAACACTGTCGGGGAAGCGCTGGCCCAAGTCAGCGCTGACACCTTGCCATCGCTCGGACGTCCATTCCTCGTGCATTTGTCGATTTCGTGCGTGCTGTTTTTTTTTTTTCGCTAAGTCATCCAGGATGCTCCTCCATGGTCCTCGCCGAGGGAAGTGTGCACACGTCCGAGCGATGCCAAGACACAGGGAGGGAGGGGGGAGGGGGCGGCGGCACCTGGCTCTCGACACCGGGTCAGCCAGAGGGGTCTCCGACGGGACTGGCCGACCCCCGGTTGGCGCTGACCCCTGGCGCGTGCGCCCCGAAGATTTTTGTTGGAGGATCCTGCTGGCCACAGGGGGGACTTGAGACAGCGGGGGATGACTGGCGTGCCCTCCTCCACGTCCTGCTTCCTGAGGCCCCCCACCCCCACTCCCGTTCCCGATGCTCCCCCCCCCGTTCTCCGGTGCCCCCCTCCGACTGCCCACCCCCGCGCCCGATCTCCACCCCCTCCCCTCCGGGGGTTCAAAGATGGGGCCCTGAAGGACAGGAACGGGTCCCAAACTGAAGTCTCACAGTTTGAGGCCACTCTGCGGGACGGGAAAATGACCACAGCCACTGCTTCTTGTTTGCGCCGCCTTCCAGCCGGCCGAAAAAGAAGCAGTGGCTGTGGTCATTTCCCTGGTGCCAAGCCTAACGAAAGTGACCACAACCACTGCTTTGTTTCTGCTGGCTGGAAGGCGGCAACAAAAGAAAAGCAGTGGCTGTGGTCGTTTTCACGTCCCGTACACTCGTCCTTAGGGCCCCATCCCTCAGGGCCTCGTCTTTGAACCGCCGACCCCTGCCATCCTGACCCTCCCTGGCCTCCCCCCCCCCGCGGCGGTCCATCTCGGAGGCCCGCCGGGCGAGGCTCGTGGACCCCGCCTTGTTCACGACTGGCGAGCGGAGCCTGCACCGGGCACGTGCCGGCCAGGACTCACGGGGGGGGCGGGGATGGGGCCAGGACTCCCGCGTCCCCTCCGAGAGGACCAGGGAGGGAAGGGTCTACACAACGGTGCGTGCCCTTGTCTGATGCCTGACTCGTTCGACGTGGGCATCTCGTTCACGAGTGGGTGCAGCCTGAGCCAGTGCTGTTCGAAGGAGGGTCATGGGAGCATGAATGGACGGGGGAGGGGGGTCTGGGAGCGAGGGAGGGGGGATCATGGAGGGAGGAAGGGAGGAAGGGAAGGCTAGGACTCCCAAATCCCCGTCGAGAGGACCATGGGAGGGGAGACTGCTGACATGTCGTGGCCAGGGCGCATCGTTTTGTGTCCGTCCGGGCCTGCCGAGCTTCTGCCGGCGGAGGCGCCTTCGTTCTGACTACCCCCGCCAGCATTCCGCCGAGGGAGAAAGAGAGAGAGAGAGAGAGAAATCAAAGAGAGAGAGAGAGAGATGCAGACG